GGGGTTAAATAACTTGCTAAATGTCACACAGCCTGCAAGAGCAGAGGCTGGGATGTGTCTCCCGTTGACTGACTGCAGTACCCAAGGCCTCAGCTATAGCCAGGCCGCAGCTTTAGGTGATCCAGTGGGCCTGGCTTCAAAGGCCAGGGGCTCTCCAGTCTTGCTGGCAGGGATTTTGGTTTGGACACAGTGAGGTGGGTAAAAGGGAAGTCTTGCAAGGTTTAGAACCGAAGTGGCCCTCATTTTGATGATCTGAAAAGCAGGTCATACCAAAAGCACCAGCTGCACTGAGTAGGGGCAAAACCAAATAAGGCAATGCGGGGGGAGTCCAGCATCTTCTCATTCTCTGCTTTAATTCCTGGACCCATCATTTAGTGATCCTTGGTTACAGATGATCAATGAGGAGTGTGAGCAGGGACATTCCTGGCCGGGATCAACCAGGTTGTACTCCCCAGCTTCTCACCAAAGGTCCCTGATGCCTCCAGTCTTCTGCCTCGGTCCTGTCACATTTTAAGCCACTCCTGGCTGGGGCAGGTGGGAGTGGAAAGATGCCTGGGCTGAGAATTAGGCCAAATGTGTCCACACCCAGGATTTCATGCCCCTCCTCATCTCCATCAACTCCTGGACTTCCTGATTTTGTCACTGTCCAGCAGATCGGTCTGCTGGTGCCTTCTGAAACCACTTTAGTGTGCCGATCTTGTCCCCCATTCTAAATATTTGAGGGGAAATGTGGTTTCTTCTGTTACCCTTCTTCTAAGTTTATTCTAGAACCTTGCATAGCACCCAGTCTCCATCCAGGTCTGGAGCACAGCCTTTGGAAGGCACATCAGCAGGACAGAGTCCTCCAACCTCTCCAAGCTTCCTGGGGTTGCTCCATGTTGCAGCCTGCACCTGGGGACTTGGGAGTATTGACAGGCTCCTGCCCTGCTCTGCACCATGAGTATCCATTCTCACCCCCAACACCCAGAGCTTCCCGATGATGAGTGGGCTGCAGGTCTCTGTTGTGCTTTGCTCACCTGAGTAGCAATGCTGGGGTCCCAGGGTGCCTTAGCCAAGCTGGCTGCCCCTTGAGATGCAGCCCCATCCTCATGCCATCTATCTGGAATCAGCCTAGGTACTCTTCCCAGTAAATTTCCTGCCTATGACTGAACACCCACCCCTCTTCTCTTCTCTTCTACCACCTGCTTTGTGCTGCCAAGAGTAAATCACTGTGCCTCACCCCTGCATCCAATTTGTGGTCACTGTGTCTTCAAGTCTGAGACAGAATTGAAGAATGAGATTCTCTGGGAATAGACACAGAAACTCTTTATCTTGGGGGGAAGATGGGATTTGGAAAATCTTTAAGAAATGGGCACTTGTCAATCATCTTGTCTATAGGTGTACGCTACTGTGGAAAGACAGGGGAGAGAGTCTGGAGCTCAGGGCTCATTCTTCCATTGGCTAATTTCATGAAAACCAGCAGTATTTGGTGGCATGGGGATGATAGAGCTATCTTAAAAAGGTTCTAGCTGTGAATAAGTGATATGATAAAAGTAAATATAATTTTTAAACTGTAAAGTGATATGGAGTCAAGAGTGGTGGGCATATCTGTACTCTCAGCACTTTCAGAGGGAGAGGTGAAAAGATTGCTTGAAGGTAGGGGTTTTAGATCAGCCTAGGCAGTATAGCAAGTCGCCATCTCTTTAAAACTGCACACACACACCATCAGGTGTGGGGGCACGTGCTTGTAGTCCTGGCTACTCGGGAGGCTGAGGTGGGACTCTTGAGCCCAAGAGTCCAAGGCTATAGTTAGCTGTGGTTGTGCCGTTGTACTCCATCCTGGGAGTACAGTATCTCCAAGTATCTAAAAAAAAAAAAAATTAAACAAAATCCCCAAAATAATATAGACCATTAATTCAGTATGTCCACTAAAAAAAAAAAAAATTAAAAACTACATTTTGAGTTCTCAGGGATTCCATTGGTTCTAAACTCAATGAGTTTCGACTCTGTTCTCTGTAGACCAGGGCTTGAGCGTAGCATACACAGTAACGGGTTCTTTACCATATAGAAAGTACAACACATAAGCCAAGTTTAGTCATATATACCCCCACATTTTTTGCCCACTCACTGTCATGCTGGATCCACAAAGGACATTACTTTTAATTCTTGGATTTCTAAGAATGAAGAAGTCAGCCATTAGCTCCCCCAAATAATTATTATATGAGCCTTTTTTTCAAATCTTTAAAACCTTCCTTAATTCCAACAAACCAGAAGAGTCAGGAAATAAGGATTATATCCACATTTTCTTACTCTCAGAAAAGGCAGGGGGGTCTGTGACTGAATATTGCTGATAAAAACATGATAACTGAGTCTCATTATAGCTAAAGACAAGTCTCATATTTTAGCATTTTTATTAAAGCTTTTTAAATTACTGAGTGTCTGGTATATTCAATACCAGCCTAAGTGATTTATATTAGTCTATCCCTAGATACTCCATCTAATAAATAACTTGGCAATCTCCTAACCCATAAATATCCCTGGCCCCAGCAAAAAGCAATTAAAGCTTGTTAAAAAAAAATGGCTTCCCAGTACTCCAGACCATAATGTCACTGGATGCTTCCAATGGAATAATTCACACCATTTACTGAGGAGGGGTCAGATCTCCTTACTCACCACCTGTCCACGAGGAACTGAGGCCCCCATTCCCTTGAAAGGCAAGACATACGAAATTATCTTTAAAATGTTTAACATGTCACAATGCTTCAGGGATTTTATCATGGAAAATATTATTCCCAGCAACAAGTGTTCTATAATATTTTAGGCAGCTTAGGCTGAAATTACTGGGAAAACCTTTTGGAAAGCAGTTGTGCCAAAAATGTTTAAAACACATTAAGCACAGAAGCATCCGAGTAAAAATTTATTAGAGGCTCCAATGTCACCAGCCCAGAAAATATTTCAGGTTAATAAGGTTCACCAGCATGCCAGGTAAAAAGCCATTGATATTTATGATAGTGGCCTCAAGTTCAGTGCTTTCAGCTACAAAAGAACTCCACTTTTCCAGACAAACCTCTTCGCTGGCCTTACCTGGGTCTCCAGGGTCAGTGAAGGAGGACAATCTGGGTCATCATTTCCCACTTGTATAAATCAGTATCCTCTGCATTGCAAACACCATACTAGATCCAGGCAGGTGTGGAAAGAGCCAACACACTAACATTTCTCGATGTACTCTGCCCCATTCCAGATTTTATAGGAATTCTCCAGATCACAATCCTAATGAGCCCATGGCATACTCATCATAAATTCCAGAGTCTCGGAGCTTTTAAGGCATCCTAATTTGATTCATCTTCCAATAATACTTTCAATTGTTTCACTAAACATTGTCTATTTTTATGCACCTCTCTTCCCAGATAATTGTCACATACATATGATTGGGGGAGGGAAACAGTTGCCTTTTATAATTTCACAGGAGCCTAATAACTCACTATGTACAAGTCTTGTAGCTCCAGGATACATCGAACAGGTATACAATGGTAATGTCACTACACTTGAACTTCATTATGGAGCTGTGAAGTGGGGAGATTTGGAAATAATTTATTTTTTTCATTTTTTATGAAGAAGAAAGAACGATAACTAAGTTTACTTCCACAGCCTGGTATCAGAATATCTGGGACATATGATGACAGGTTTGATGGAGAACATCTATTTTTGCATACAGAAATGTTTTTCTTTTTCCCCGTAAATAGGAGACTTGCTACAACCAGGTACTCAGCCTTCCCCAGAATTCTGCAAGCTACAAAATGCCTTGTTTTCAAATTATTTAATTTAATCTTTTCAAAAGTTGATACATTAACATGGTTCAAACACCAATCTACTTTTGAAAATATGTACAGAAAATTTTTACTCCTGCGTTTATCATTTCCATCCCTTTATTCCTACAGATTTCTACAACTTTGTATTTTTTTATCCATCCAATGTGTGCTTATGTAAAACAAACAAATAAGAAAATACATCATCATTCTTCCTAATACAAAGGCAGCAGAGTATATACACTGTTGTTCCCATATTTGTAGAAATATACCTTATACGTTTTCAGAGCTGCATAGTATTCCTTTTCATAAATATATTCTAGTTTATCTAACTAATGCCCTATCCACAGAACATTAGTTGATTTCAATTTTCAACATTTTACTCTCACAATTTCCCACAAGACTTGTGAAGCATGTATTTGGGATAGAGTCATAGAGTAAGTACTGGCTTAAAATGTAAATGCATCTATTTGTATTTTGATGGTTGACAGATTTTCTTTTCATGAGAGCCTTACCATTGTTCCTATCCACTAAACACCTATGAGATAACCTGTGTCCCCAGAAGTCCTGTCAGAAGCTTATATAACTAAACTTTTAAATGTTTCCCAATTCAATCAGTGAGAAATGGTATTTCTGCATGGTTTTGATTACATCATGGCACTGTTGTGAGGGTGATTTCTACTGTCTTCTGTGAACTCCCCCAGACTTTCAAGTGAGAGGGTGCTGGGTTTGCTGGGCTTCCCAACATCTATTTTATTTTATTTTTTTAATTTTTATTTTTTAATTTCAATAGGGTTTTGGGGAACAGATCGCGTTTGGTTACATGAATAAGTTCTTTAGTGATTTCTGAGATTTGGGTGTACCCATCACCCTAGTAATATACACTGTACCCAATATGTAGTCTTTTATCCCTCAACCCTCTCCCGCCCTTTCCCCAAGTCCCTAAAGTCCGTTGTATCATTCTTACGCCTTTGCATCCTCATAGCTTAGCGCCTACTTATGAGTAAGAATGTACGATCCAACATCCTTTTTAATAAAAAATCTTTCCACATATGTCAATTAAAGTTCATTTACTGTGTTGTTTGGAGTTTGGCCTCTGGTGAGAGAGGTCCAGGTTGCTACCATTTATTTCCCGGCCGTGGGATGTTGGAGAGTTTCTTAAGCTATTTGTACCTCACTTTTTTTCCATCTATAACATAGGCAGGTAATTAGTACCTATAAGGTGGGGTTGTTGTGAGGAGTAAATGTGTCAGTACATACAAGGGAATAAGCCAGTGTGGTGCTGAGAAGCAGTCCTCAAATATGACTGTCCTCATACACTGCACATTGCACATTTCCCCAGGTGCTCTCTGCTGCCTCACAGATGGAACACATTAGGGAAAGGGAAGACTGCGGCCCTGCCTTCCACTGCTATAGACAGAGAAGAGTCATTTCAAAGGAGTCAGTCTAATAATTAGTCTCTGCAAACAAACACATCTGTGGACTGGCACTTTTCATAAACTTGGGTGCAAACGTAAAGGCCACTTTAAAAATATGTCACCAGAGAAAATGTCAAAGGCTCCTGGGACACAGTAAGATGACAAGGGCAAAAACCATGGTTGGCACATACTCAGTGGGGCAGCAGGCCCTCACATTATTGGAATCAAAATTTATGAAATATCTTCTTTCCTCTTTGGAAAGTGTCAGAGAAATACTACAATTTGACTGGGGGAGCTGCCTTAAGTAAAGGCAGAAAAGTAGGGTGGGATAGCAGGCCTTGAGGCATAAGGATTCACTGCTTCTCTAACTATTCATTTGTCTATCCCCAAGACAAAGAGGAGAGGTGAGTGAAGAGTAAAGGGCCTGCAGGCATCTTGGAGGAAGAGAATAGCAGTCTGCTCCTGAAGACCCTGGGTGGGGCTTTAGGCAACTTAAGGTAGGAGAAAAAAGCAAGGACTAGATTCTCAGAAAGGGCAGAGGCAGGGAGTCTGGGAAAGTGAACAGCCAAATTCCAAATCTAAAAGAATGTGTTACTTCTAGAGAACTTACAAACCTTACTCCAGTATCCTGGCAAGGCCCACATCAGATGCATGATCTTAGGAGAAGGTCAGTGTGCTAGTGCACCACCCATTTTATTGGAAAGTGGTGTTTGTTTTTTGTTTGTTTGTTTTCCTTACATTAGGTATCTCTTAACTTTTTTGAAGTGGTAAGTTAAAATCTCTGTCAAAGGGGTGGAGGGGAAAAACAAGTCACCATCAAGAACGTTGTCTGACACTTGCTATCTCTCCAAACATGACACCATGTTTAGCCTTGCTCAAGCCTTGTTCTCATGCATTGCTGATGCCTTGTTCACATGCATTACTGGTACCTTGTTCACATGCATTACTGGTGACAGTGTCAAGCAGCATGCATTGGTGGAAATGAAGGAGGGAGACCCAAAGGAGCTCTCCAACAATGCAAGATTAATTACCAATGGATTTCACTTCTCCTAAGGTAGAAAAATGAGAGCTTAGACCTGGAACCTGCTGTGGTCCTTCTTGAGGTGATGAAAACTCATTATAGTTAGACACTGAACTACGGAGAGTGCCTGAAGCAGAAACAGCATTTGGGAAGATTGAAAGCAAAGAAAGTTGAATTATAAATGGGCTGTGTGTGACTGTGGCAACTTGGAACGGGTTATCCCGTCTTTCCACCTCCAAAATTGATCAAGACTTAGGAGCCAGCCAGGCCTACCTGGAGAAGGCAAAGGAGCTGGGTGGGCAGGGTGCAAAGAGTACATGGATAATAGGACTAAAAAGACTAGAAGAAGAAGAAGAAAGTAGGTTCTAAAGGAGTAAGATGGAAAAGAAAGTGGAAATTTTGAAGAATTTGCCCTAGCTTAGAAATGTGTACAGATTTCCTGTTCTCCCTGGCACCTGCCACCACCCCCAGCACAAAAGAGAATGGAGATAATGGGGAACCTCCTGGGCCCTGAAAGGATGGGCCTAGGGCAAGGGTGTTATTCTTTTCCACCACAGCTCACTTTCATTCGTCTGCTCATTTCCCCCTCCATTAAGTGGCATTTAAAAGTTAGATAAGGCAACAAGCAGGTGTTAATAATCTGTTATAAAATAACAATATTAGCACAATGACAAGAGAGCAGAACCAGTGAGGAATAAACTCACCTCAAGCCCATTTTCCTAAAATGTTAAAGAGTGAGGAGATAGCAAGGGATCTCCCAGTTTGGAAGAGACACGTCACTCCCCAAAACCAAGTGAAGTACTTGAAGGCTGGACTCAAGTTAAATTCAGGCTGAAGCTTGTAACCATCTCTCGTGGTTACAGATAGGTGCCTCCTGGACATATCTGTAACCGCGTCACTTTCTCCTTTTCTTTACTTTTCCACTCTCCATCTTCAACCTTCTGCTTCATGTAATGGCTAATGTAACTGGGATACAGACATATTATAAAATATATGTAAATTGTATACAAAGGGACAGTATTACTCCCACTCCCATGAACCTGATCAATAAACGCCACTCAGGATTGTCAGAGGGATTGGAACCAGAGTGACTCCATCTTGAACATGGGCTGGATAAAATGAGGTCGAGACCTGCTGGGCTGCATCCTCAGGAGGTTGGGCATTATTAGTCACAAGATGAGATAAGAGGTCCCAAGACACAGGTCATAAAGATCCTACGATAAAACAGGATGTGGTAAAGAAGCCTGAAAAAAACTCACCAAAACCAAGATGGTGATGAAAGTGACCTCTGGTCATCCTCATTGCTCATTATATGCTGATTATAATGCATTAGCATGCTAAGAGACACTCTGGCCAGCACCGTGGTGATTTACAAATGCTATGGCAATGTCAGGAACTTACCCTACGTGGTCTCAAAGGGGGAGTTTGAGGGAGGGAGTTTACCCTCAGTTCTAGGAAATCCTCACCACGTTTTCAGAAAACTCATGAATAATCCACCCCTTGTTTAGCATATAATTAAGAAATAACCATAAATATATCCAGTCAAGCAGCCCATGCTGCTGCTCTGCCAATGGAATGGCCACTCCTACTCCTTTACATTCTTAATACACTTACTTTTGATACAGGAGTTAATATGAAATTACTTAGGCAGATAGTAAGTACATGGGATTCCTCCGTAAGGCTTTTCTTTTTCATGAAAAGCAGCCCCAAATCATTTTCTAACAAAGAGTAGCCTGTAAAGTCAAACTTCAGACATAGATGAACAAGCTGGGAGCTTGCAGCAGTGAATTCGGCAGGAAATAGGAACTAGACATGTTCAAGATGGCGGCTCCTTTTGTTTGTCAGTCATGCCTGTTGTAAGAAGCACACAAGATGAAGCCAATTAACTGGAAATCCTATTTGCATAATAAGATTAGGGTGGGGTGACCAGCCTTCCCCAAGTCCTATGTAAACATCATACAGGATGGAACCAATCTGTGAGCCCTATGTAAATCAGACACCACCTCCTCAAACCTGACTATAAAATTCAGTGCATTTGCCGCCTGCTGGCCCTTTCTGCTCAGAGACCTGTTTCTTTCTTTCTTTTTTTTTTAAAGACGGGGTTTCAACGTGTTGGTCAGGCTGGTCTTGAACTCCAGACCTCAGGTGATCCGCCCGACTTGGCCTCCAATCAGAGACCCCTTTCTCTGTAGAGAAAACTGTTTCTCTTTGTCTTCTCTTTTACCTATTAAACCTCTGTTCCTAAACTCCCTGTGTGTGTGTTTGTGTGTGTGTGTGTGTGTGTGTGTGTGTGTGTGTGTCTGTCCTAAATTTTCGCGGTGCTCAATAACGAACCCGAGGGTATATACCCCAGGCAACGTAGCTGCTTCACTTTCTCTTCACTCTGTGGACTCACCCTGAATTTTTTCTTGCATGAGGTCCAAGAACACTCTCTTGGGGTTTGGATTAGGAACTTTTTCTTGTAACATGACTGCTGAGATCATATAAACACAAACTCACCTTATACACACAAATGTCTCCCAGGGCCAATTAAGACCTGAAACTAATGTAACCTGTGACAATTAAGGGGATGATAATAGTGTATATATTTGTTCCTGCCAAAATCTCATGTTGAATTGTAATCCCCAGTGTTGGAGGTGGGGCCTGGTGGGTGGTGGCTGGATCATGGGGGTGGATTTCTCAAGAATGGCTTATCTCCATCCCCTCAGTGCTGTCCTTATGACAGTGAGTGAGTTATCCTGTGATTTGGTTGCTCAAAGTGTGTGACACCTCTCTGTCTCTCTTGCTCCTGCTCTGGCCATGTAAAGTGCTCTGGCTTTGCCTTCCAGCACCAGGAAAAGCTCCCTGAGGCCTCCCCAGAAAGCAAGTAATGTCCATGCCATACTCCCTGTACAGCCTGCAGAAACACCAGCCAATTAAACTTCTCTTCTTTATAAATTACCAAGTCTCAGGCGTTTCGTGATAGCAACATAAGAATGGTCTAGCACAGAGGGCATCTCCAATAAAGCCTGCCTCAGTCTGTCAGGGGAATCAATCTGGAAGCACAGAGCATGTGTCTGAGAAGAGGAAAGACAGTTTTCACTGCCAGAGGAACCTGAGTCCCCACCTCCACACTCCACCTCCTTGGTTCCATAGAAATGTCAGAAAAAATATTTGTGAGCTGGGTGGATTATGCCATAATATGTGGATGCCAGGAAGCATTTGAACAGAGCCATGATGTCCCCTTTGCCTGAATTCTGCTACCTTCTAGTTAGAATTTATTTTTCAGTTTAGACTTTGGATGGGAAGGAAATGGACCAATGGAGAAACTCCTGGGCAATGATGCAGTGAGTCTGGCTCATTTACAAATCAGTAAAGTGCCACTGAGTTTCCATGTTTGTTTCCTGAAAGTGCCTTACCCTGAGCCTTCTGGAGAGATGGGCCCATTCTCAGTGCAGCACAAAGTAAAGTTCTGTGTGAATTACTCTTTCTCTATTGCAATTCCCCTGTCTTGAGGCTTCAGAACCAAAGGCCACCTCAGCAACACACAGTCCACCTAAGAAGCTGTCTGTGCCCCATTGTGACTGGTCAGCCAGTCCATGTATGCTAGAATTAGGAAATAGGGTAGAGTCGAAACCACCCTTGCAAAATTGTAACTGAGGCAGTGAAAGAGATCTAACCTAAGCAACTCTGTATTGCTTCCAACCTCCAAGCTGTCCTTGTTAATTCCTGGGCATAGGCTGAATTAACTTGAGGAGGGGCTTGGTTTATAGTTAAAAACAAAGATGATAACAAGCCTTTC